GACACTTACTTTGGTATAATGGGTGGCATTCCTTGATCATAAAACCATTTATCCCATTCCACACTGTCTAACACTTCTCTCTAAAATTGTAACATTTTTTACAATTTATATAGAGAGATATTATTATTTCATCTATTTTGCAAAAAATAACCCAAACTCTAAATGCAGAGTATGAAAATAATGATTCTTAGATGATCGAGTTATTATTACCTTGTCAGTGAAATAGGAGTATAGGAAATCCTTCCATTGGTTTGAGTCTATAGATTGCTGTTTAAACTTCTCTACATAGGCTTTCAGAAATTTTTCAAACACAGCTGAAATGTATACCATATATACATGCATAACTTATATCCTATTAAGGTATATAATATCTTGGCTTTCTATACTCTAAAAGTGGTTATTTACGCTGGTGTTAAGTATGCGTTTGTGACCATCAAACATTCACGTGGGTGTAAAATACGTGGTCGCACGAGCTACTGAGAAAAATTTACGCGTACTATCATCGACTTGTTTCCCTTTGAAAATAAGAAGAAAATCAAAAATAATTACAACAAACTAAACAAATCAAAATGAATTTCTCCTGTTGGATTGGTACAGCTGAGTGTGAACAACTGGAGTACACTTTATTGTAGTTATTTATGCAAGCTCAAATTTCAAAGTGGGATCTACTTACCTGTATCTGCGCGTCGAGTGCACAGGTTGACAATTAATTTAATAGGTATGTTTGAAGTAACATGTATGTAACATTTTGACTAATTATTTGAAATTGAGAGAGACACATACGAATATACGAAGGAAATAAAAAATGAGTATCGATGTTTTAACTTTTAATTGCGTGATGCTGCTTTAAAATATTTAATATGAAGATGTATTTTTCATCGCACAATTAAAAAAATGAACAGTTACATTTTCATGACTGTTTGTGATATATTTATATACTTATTGATATACTTATCTACTAACGTGAGTTCAATACCCCAATTAATATACGACTGGTTCAACCGGTCTAATCTAGAATTATTCCAGAAATTTGAAATTTTGTAACCATGCGCCCGAGGGTATTTTATGTGGTTCTTCGCTTACCGCGTAAGTAGTGTAAATTTCCCCCACGTGCAAATAACCACTTTTACAGTAGTCAAAGACCTAAAATCTTGCTTGAAACAAAAACTAAAATACAAGTAGAGATAAAAAGGGTATATTTTTACTGCTTTTGCTAACAAGAGGCCCAAGGGCCTTGAATCGCTCTTCTGATAAATTGTACAACCTATCACTTCTATTTGAAGCCTCTAACCCTAAGTATTCTAAGAGCCAAGTTGCATCAACTGACAAAGTTTGATGATTCTTAGCCAATTATAACTGAAGATATTTTAATAAAGCTATAAAAGAAACCATAAGTAGGTCACAATGACCTACTTTAAGATTGAAGTTTTCTGAGGACTCAATATGCATTAATAGACAAAGACTGAAGATTCTAAGCCAATAAGTATGTGAGATAGTCAAAAGTAAGTCACTTTGACCTACTTTTTCATCTACATTCTTGGAAAAAATAAAATGCATCAACTGACAAAGTTTGATTATTCCAAGCCAATAAGTACTGGAGATACTTAATTATAGCCATAAAATGTTAAAAGTAGGTCACTGTGACCTAAATTTTAGTAGGCGATTTTCGAAAGCCTAAAATACATCAACTGACAAAGTTTGATGATTCTCAGTCAATATGTATCCAAGATTCAAAAGTATTCAAAAGTAGGTCACCATGACCTACTTTTTGGTCATCACTCTCCGAAAACCCAAGATGCATCAACCCACAAAGTTTGATGATTCTAAGCTTCTAAATACCTAAGATACTTAAATAAAGCTAAAAAATGTCAAAAGTAGGTCACCATGACCTACTTTTTGGTCATCACTCTCCGAAAACCCAAGATGCATCAACTCACAAAGTTTGATGATTCTAAGCTTATTAATACCTAAGATGCTTAAATAAAGCTATAAAATGTCAAAAGTAGGTCACCATGACCTACTTTTTGGTCGTCACTCTCCGAAAACCCAAGATGCATCAACTCACAAAGTTTGATGATTCTAAGCTTATAAATACCTAAGATACTTAAATAAAGCTATAAAATGTCAAAAGTAGGTCACCGTGACCTACTTTTTGGTCGTCACTCTCCGAAAACCCAAGATGCATCAACTCACAAAGTTTGATGATTCTTAGCCAATAAATACCGAAGATACTTCAATAAAGCCATAAAATGTCAAAAGTAGGTCACCGTGACCTACATTTTAGTCAACATTTTTCAAAGTCCCAAGATGCATCTGCTGACCAAGTTTGATGATCGTAGGTCTGAAGGTAATCAAAATATGCCTTTTTAAACAATATGAAAACATATGCCTGCAAAATTCAAAAAGTAGGTCACAGTGACCTACTTTTTCATAAATATGTTTTAAGGTCCCAAGATGCAGCAATTTACAAGATTTGATGATTCTAACCCTCTCAGTGTCTGCAATAATGGGATTAAATGTTTTAAAAAGGATAAGTCATAAAGTTCAAAAAGTAGGTCAAGGTGACCTACTTTTAAGTTGATGTTGTTCAAGGACCCAAGATGCATCAACTAACACAGTTTGATGATCATAGGCCTTAAAGTGTCCAAAATATGCCTTCAAATCAATTTGAAAACAAATGCCCGCAAAATTAAAAAAGTAGGTCACTGTGACCTACTTCTGATTTAACATGATGTGAAGTCTTAAGATGCATCAACTTACAAGATTTGATGATCCTAGTCCTTATAGTAAGCAAAATATAAACGTTTTTATCAATTGTAAATTTACGTCAACTTTGAAGTGACCTTGAGACCACGCCCTTTGCCCCAGGGTCATGCCTTGAACAATTTTTAATCTTCAACATATTCTGATCCTTGTGTGTAAGTTTGGTGAAAATCTGCCTGGTGGTTCTGGAGAAGAAGATTTTTTAGCAACCAGTACTTTTGGTTTTGTTTTCGTGATTATCTCCCCTTGTTTAAGGGTCCCAACCCTTATTTTAGTATAAATGGTAGCCCTTGGGCCAAGGATACCCTGTGACAAATTTGACACTGATTGGCCAAGGCGTTCTTGAGTTATGGCCCATTTTCTAAAAAGTTAACGCACACCGCACGACGCACACCGCACAAATGGCCATAGCATTAGCTCTTTGAGCCTTTGGCTCAGAAGAGCTAAAAATATATAGTATTAATTGAATTGAAACAGTGCTCCATCTCACTAAGTAATGCAAATCCTACTGCTACAATGCACAATAACAGAGAATCCTTATTAGGAATACATGCATGGTACAAAGTATTATAATTGTATAAAATATTGTAACTGAACATATTAACAACAGATAGGCTTGTGATCATGTCCTTGCAGAAGACAAATTAAAACAAACAAACAAAACCTATGTAAGGCCATCCTTAAAAAAATGTTTGTTTGGAATTGTCGCCTAAGGGTTTTCAGACCCAGGAGGGAGGGAGGGAATTTATTTTTTTTTTTTACAAACTGAAGCTAATTAATAGAAATAAAAAATCGCAATGAACAGTGGTGATTTTCGTTAATTTCCCTCTTTCTTTTATTTGATTAATATCATTTTTGTCTAAAATATACACAGAACGGTACTCAAGTATCAATCTTTCTTCGATGGTAGATTTGCTTATCTATTAAAAGTCAAATTTCAGCATCAAACTTTTTTCATTATTTTAAAAAGCTTTTTAAAACAATTTCTTTACAAATCTTTTTAAAACAATTTCATTGGTGTATTTCATAGCATGTCTCTTTGAAATTTAGCCCTTCATTAAGACAACCCTTACAAAGAGTGCGAACCACACAAAATTACTTAAGAATAGTTGGGATGTTTTGTGGAAAAAAACGGGAGGGGGTGCTTGGTATGTTCTAAAGTGTTCGCCATGAATAAGTTTTAACATTAATAGGTGTCAAAGACTTGTCATACTGATAGACAACATTTTTCCTTTGGTATTTGGGAATAAACATTTCTGACCCATGTAATTTTTTTACCAGGGAACTGAACGATCATTTTCAATTTCAACATGACGGACTTATCCTATCAAGTTCAAAGGCAATCTATTACAATAGCTCTTTCCAGGTATTGGTGTATCATTCCATTTAATGTTTTATTCATCTCTTATTTTTATGAAGATGCATAAATGTTCTGGTCTTCAAGGCTTGAATGTTTTCACATCCACTGATCCAACTTGGTCTGACATTTCGGCGGCTTTCATTTTTTCAAATCGCCACCTATATTCCCTCAATCTCCCATGCAGAGTTGTCATTCGTTCTTCTCCTATGAGCAGATGGTAGAGAGTGATATTCCCTATATCATAAATACTATGAAGAAAGCGTTTTATTGACCGGTATTGTTAAATTTATGTGAGCTCAAACCCGACTTTAAAAAGCTATTTCGAAGAACGAACTAACTTGAAAAAGCGATGTCGGACATAAGACGGTAAAAAAAAAATTTCCAATATTTTGCCAATAAAATTTTTTAAGCGGGGGGTATTTCAATGAGGCGGGCGGCAATTCCAAACAAACTAAAATTTTATTTTGGCCTAAAAGCAAAGTTCACCTGAAATAATTCTGGGTCTGTCATAAAGTTAAATTTCTCCATTAAACGGGTTTCTGATGAGACTTTAGCTCTAATGGTGTGTGTACTTATTAAAAAGAAAGATACATCTTACTACAGTCAACTGGACTGAGTCTTATTAAAACAGTAGAAGTAGTGTTTTTGAAAAAAACTGTTTACAGAAAGACAGATGGACAATGGACACCATACTAATGCATAAGCTCTTCTAGTCTCTATCCAGTAAAGCTAAAATTGCCCCTGACATAGTGTATGTGTGTGTTACCTGGTCCCCCCAGCAGGGTCTCCAGATAGAACAGCAGGGTAAAGCCTTTCTCATAGGGAACAATGGAGAAGGCATCGTCTGGATCCACTCCCTTAAGATCTGGGATCAGTCGTGTGTAGGGACCATTCTTCAACACTACTTCCTGAAATAAAATCAATGCTGGTCCATTTTCAATGAGAAACCAACAATTAAGATTTAAGATTACCCTTAAACAAGAGTCTAGCTATTAAATAAAGCAAGTTTCTACTGTTCTGTAATAATTGAAAGAATCTTTCCATAAAATTATTTTCTAATCAATGATTTATGATAACATGTATTAAGTACAATTTCTTCTTCCAATTCTTTTGCCCCTCCCAGAGCCAGGAACTGACGAAATGCCTCATTGTCATGTAACCTTGATGTGATCTTTCTCTCCACAAACATGGTGTGACCTTCATTTAACCTGGAAAGTCAAAGGTCATCTTCAAATCTAATGCACATCAACCTTCCATCAGGATAAATGAAAGTCACTGACTGATGTGTGGAACTGAGGACAATTCTATTGCTAAAATTCCTCTCTGCTCTCCAACAAACAGCGAAATTCTGTGTATGCTTAGAGCATGAGTGCTTTAACATAGTTTGATTTAAGAAAAAGAAAATTTTAGAAGTGTTCAGAATTGAATTTTAAATTTACAATTGTCTCTTTTAGACTTTTGGATCCTCCAATGGCCATGAATTGACGGAGAGCCTCACTGTTGTGTAAACGTCCTGTGATCTTCCTCTCCACAAACACAGTGTGACCTTCATTTAACCTGAAAAGGTCAAAGGTTATAGACTTATAGTGATCTTCCTCTCCACAAACACAGTGTGACCTTCATTTAACCTGAAAAGGTCAAAGGTTATAGAGTTATAGTGATCTTCGAAAAGATCTTCAAAAAGGTCAAAGGTTATAGAGATCTTCCTCTCCATAAACAAAGTGTGACCTTCATTTAACCTGAAAAGGTCAGATTATAGAACTTAATCAGTAAAATGATTAAAAATTCAAAAATTAATAAAGGCACAAGTCATATTTGTGGAGCAAAGAAAAATCACAAGAACGATTTCATCAATGTAAGGTTTAACTTTTGTTTTAATAATGCCTCTCCATCACCATAAATTGAACTTTTTTATGTTTAACTTTTTTGATAATTTGTTTAAATCAAAATTTAAAAAAACTATTTATGCAATTAAATACAAATACTGGGTACAAATACTAAGTTCCTAATAAAGCAGTTTTTTACGCCCCGCCATGAATATGGCCGGGGCATATAGTGTTTGTCATGTCCGTCTTCCGTCCTTCCGTCACACTTTGTGTTTAGCTCTGTTCAAAGCTAAGTTTCAAAGAAACTATCCAAGATATTTTCATCAAACTTCATATGCTGATAGATATTGATGAGAGCTATGCAACTGCATCAACATTTTTTGACCTTGACCTTTCCTTTGACCTTGATCTCACTTTTCTTAAATTAGTGTTTAGCTCAGTTTTAAACATACCATTCAAGATGGTGTTATCAAACTTCACAAGTGGATACAAACTTGCACGGATGATGCATCTAGGGATGCACACTACAAGACTTGCTTCCGATGCTGGATCTGACCTACATTTTCCAGTTGAGTGACCAGATTTTTGGAGCAGGTCCATTCCTAAGGAACTATAAGCCCAACTTGGACCAAACTTGCATGGATGATGCATCTAAGGATGGACACTACCAGACTTGCTTCGGATGCTGGATCTGACCTACATTTTCATTCCCAAGTAACTATAAGCCCTACCTGAACCAAACTTGAATGGATGATGCATCTAAGGATGGACACTACCAGACTTGCTTTGGATGCTGGATCTGACCTATATTTTCCTTCCCAAGTAACTATAAGCCCTACCTGAACCAAACTTGCAAGGATGATGCATCTAGGGATGGACGCTACCAGACTTGCTTTGGATGCTGGATCTGACCTATATTTTCATTCCCAAGTAACTATAAGCCCTACCTGAACCATACTTGCATGGATGATGCATCTAGGGATGGACACTACCAGACTTGCTTCGATGCTGTATCTGACCTATATTTTCATTCCCAAGTAACTATAAGCCCTACCTGGACCAAACTTGCATGGATGATGCATCTAGGGATGGACACTACCAGACTTGCTTCGGATGCTGGATCTGACCTATATTTTTATTCCCTAGTAAATATAAGCCCTACCTGAACCAAACTGATCAAATTTAGTATACAAATTTTGATGTTGCTTTACTAATATATCCTTGGCGGGGCATTCATGTCCTATGGACATATTTCTAGTGATATTTATTATTATTTCTTTGAGTTCATTTGCTCCTCCATCGGCCATGAACTCAGACAGAAACACTGTTATTTTCCCCCTTTTGCACTTTCAAACAATTTTGCCCCCATTTTTAATTCGCCAAGTCACAGTTCTGTTTAAGAAATTATGGGGTATTCTTTGAATTTGCCCCATTTTGAATTCACCCACTTGTGACAAGGGCGAAAGGGACAAAAATAAAACGGGTGAAAATTTCCCTGTATACAGTAGCTTCCCCATGATCTTTCTTTCCACAAATCCAGTATGACCTTCATTCAGAGAGATTCAGTCCAGACTTTTATAGGAGAACAATTTCTGTCATTTAGGTCAAATAAAGAAGACTAAAAAAACTTTACAAGAATTCATTTCTGAATCACTTAAATAATTGCTTATGTGCTTTGGTTTTGGTATTCTATCTTATTTTGTTTAGTATTTCATTACCAGAAGTGTTCCCAATTTCTGTTGGTGACGAGATTTCCCGTCCAGCTGTGAGAAATCTCGTGAGCCACCACGTCAGCCAGTGATTTGTCTCCTGCCTGTAAAAGATTCATGGATTACGTCAGAGGATGGATTTTGGAACCAAGCTTGAATACTGATAAAGAGACAATTTCTGTGCAACTTAAGTACCGGTATTAAATTATCTTGTTTTTGAAATGTGTACACAAAAAGTAAATCTCTTTCTATATAACTGCATTGGTGTGTATAAACTTACCAGAAGTGTTGGGGTCACGAAAGTCAAACAGGGATTTTCCATTCCTCCATAAGGAAAGGATGGGGGCAGCACAAGAAGGTCATACTGACCCCAGATGTAGGGCCCTAGTAAGGCTTCAGCTGTTTGTATCATCTTCTCTGTCTGTCCAAAAAAGATACGAAAAAAATTGATAAGGCCATTGTTTACAGAACATCTGAGGCCTGTTCAACAGAGTGAACATTTGCTAGCCCTCGCCAAAATTCCTTATCCCTCCAACAGAAATGTTCGTTAACGTTCACTCGGTTGAATAGACCTCTGATTACAAATCTGACGATAATTTCTTTCTACCTCTGAGAATTCTTTGGCAGCCTCTTCTACCATTTCTTTCTCTGTCCACACTTTGGATCTTGGACCAATTTTTCTAAAATTAAAATGAATGGAAGTTTCTCATGACACAGTAGCTCTGTTGGTTTGTAATTAAAATAATGGAAGAGGAAAATTGAACACGGTCATGTAACACTTCCATTTCATTTCTGCTTGTGGCAAAGTTTTCTAAACATGTACCAATTTTAATAGAAATTCTTTTTTTTGAAAATGAATTTTAATTTAGCAAAATCAATAAATAAACATAGAATTTACTATCTTACAGTAATCTACTTGTGTACCAATATTTGAATAATAATTTTGAACCAAAAAGGTTTTCTGCAAAAAATTCTGAAACTAAGAGTAGTCCCCCTTTAAAACAGCATCTGCTTTGAGACTCTCTCTCTCTCTCTCTCTATCTCTGTGACAGTAATGAATTTCTAGCCTTAAAATTTCAATTGAATTGAACAAAATAAAAAACTGAGAGACCCATATCCTTGTGACTGAGAAGTGGTGGTAGACAAAGCAACTTCAGAAGATATTTTCAACCTCTGTGTACCTTGACTCAAGATCTCCTCCTACAATGGCAATGAGATATGTGGGGATGGGAACTTTCTGTTCAAACTGGTGAATCAGTTTACTGCTGTCTGAGGGGTGTGGCTCTGGCTCTAACCTTACTGCACTCATCAGAATAGTTATGTCCCTTGGGGCTGTCACCTGGTAAAACAACTTCATCTTAAAATTTCCTCTAGCTAACAAAAAAGTTGTATTTATGTCAATGATTATGAAATTCAAGGAATTTTTATCGAAGCGTTGATTTTTTTTAGGACACCTGGTTTTTTTTTTTTACCTTAGCTGTATATGGAACTTTAATGGCAGGTGTGTCTTGACATGGTACCATACTTCTGGCATGAATTGCCTATAATGAAAAAGTGATAGCAAAAGGAACCTCAGAGCAAATAACAAAACATCAAATTTTGAAACAGCTACAGATTTGAAAAAATCATGGTAAAAGTAAGTAAATTTAAACTAGTCTGCAAAGACACAAGTTTTAAATTAAAGCCAAAAAAAAGAAATCGTCTCTAAAAATTCATATATTTTAAATGTCTCATAAATCATTTAGGTTTTAATTTTTTTTAACTCTTTGATTTGAGTGTACAATTTTCTTCCAGCGCTACATTATATGATAAACCATTGATCAGACTGTATAGAAGATAATTTCACTTTTTTTCCCTAAAATGTGATTCTAAGAATTGTTATACCTGGCATTGACTGAACAAATAAGGTTGCCTTTTTCCTGCAGTCTGTTCCGGTCTCAGCCACTGTAAAGCAGTGCATTGTGGGGAGGTCTCATAGTGCACTCGTACTTTGTTGCTATTAAAAAATGTCAGTAATGAGATCTAACATTAATGTTACCATAAGAAAATTACATTTAAATCACTTCAAAATATATCAACATAATGCTTAATCTGTTATATGGAACTTGTAGTTTACAAATCAAATAGGGCTTCATAAATAAAAAAAAACTTCCTGAGTGTTTTCCTTCTCATTTTTCAAAATATTATTTAACACAAAGGGGTAAACAAGGAAATTTTAATTTAAGCTTTCTACACTATTTCTAGAGTTAAATTTCTTTCTCAGTGCTAAACTATACCTTGTATTAAACTCAAACTACTCTAGAATTTATGTAAAATATAAATGCCCTAGGGTCACCCCACCTGGTAGACGAGGACACTGGAAGCTGGACCTCTAACTTAGATCCAAAGCTCCCTGTGTTCTCTCCAAGTGTATACTTCAACTCCTGGCAGTTGTCAGCGTCAGTGATCTTTTGGATAGACACATCTCTTGTATCCAGAATCTGAAAAATAAATTGAATTATAATTGATGTATAATAGAACCTATGATATAATCATATAGTTAAAACATTCTTCTTACCTGGTAATTTAAATGAAATCTATTACTTTCCTAGAAGTAATCATTATTTTCCTGATGCCAGCAAACACATTTCTTCAGATAAATAGTAACCTAGCTGGCTCAAATTTGTCATTACCTCATACAATGGAAATATTTGATGGATAGAAAAATGATAACACATTAACATAAATTCACTGCCTAAAGGCACCTCACATTTTTGTAAAAGTATCCTCTGTTTCTAATCTACCTAAAAGCTCTGCATTCAGACAGGTTTGAGTGCTCAGGGCCAGATAATTTAGTTGGTCTGACCAGGGTTCAGGGACCACTCCCCATCATAACACAATCAGTTGGTACAGCAGCTGACCAGGGTTCACCCCCCTCCATCACACACAATCAGTTGGTACAGCAGCTGACCAGGGTTCACCCCACCCCCTCCATCACACACAATCAGTTGGTACAGCAGCTGACCAGGGTTCACCCCACCCCCCTCCATCACACACAATCAGTTGGTACAGCAGCTGGCCAGGATTTAGGGGACCCCACCCCCATCCCCATCACACAATCAATTTTACTCACCAGGTTCTGAATGCCATCCTTCATCCTTTGCACTGACAAGTCCACGTACCCACATAATTTTCTGGAATCAAAATCCACCTCTAAGATGAGGTCAAGACTGGTCACTTTACATTCATCTGGCCTTGAAAAAGAGCAAGGGTCCTCTGGACTTAAAGCGGTCATGTTCTGTTGTAGTGTCTATCAAAGAAATTTGCAATATGAAATAGACGAATGGACTGTTTGATAATGTATCAAATAATTGAATTTTTATCCCACTCTCTATGCTGCTCGTCACTGTGAGCTCTTAATTCAGCACCCAGGCCAAGAGAAAATTCAGACTTTGCACATTGATCCAAATGGTTTTTCTCAGTAACTCTGGACCCACAATGTATTACTTGTAAATGCTACATTCTTATGAGAATAAAAACAAGTGCTCAACAAAAAAAACTTGCTTCTGTGTGGTATTGCAACTTACACATGACGTCTGAGTCTAGACGTACCAAATGTCAATTGCCGTCAAAAAAGACGATTATGTATTCAGCTCCTATACTGTAAACTGAAAAGGTATTTGCACTCGCCCTACTGGTTGCACCGTCAACATTTTACATGTAATATATGATGAGTGATATTTTATTGACTTGGTAGTTTGGTTGATAGTGAATATTTCACTTGGGAAAGAAGGACTTTTTTACATATCAATAAGGTACATACATGTTTATAAACCAAGACCCAAGTGGAAAATTTCAGATTTGCAACTCTTTCTCTTCAATTATGATGTGCAGTGAAACACATGCATTTTCTAACAAATCTTTCTTATGTGATTCAAACACTATTTTTATCAGTATTACATCTTCAACATTGTTTTGGTTTTAGTAAAGAACGAAATGTAACTTGGTCTTACTTTCACTTTGACTTTCACATGTTTTCAAAAATAATTTACGTCTTTCAGAAAAAAAAGGTAAAATGAAACATCGATATATTGAAAGCTCTAACGTAAACGAATTGTAAATTTTCCCCTATAAATCTAATTTACCCTAGTCAATGCTCACAAACTGCTGAAATCAATGTTTTATTGCCAGCACCATAACAGAAAAACTAACAGGAAGTGGAATCCATGTGGTGTTTTTGAATTTCCGCTGCGCGAAATGTCACGTGACAATTCGATACAGCAGTTAGTTTTATGTAATGGAGAGTGAAGTGTGAATGTTCGATGGAGTGTATTAAAGTTGAGGTAGGATGGTTACTTTTAAAGTTGGTTATATTTAGCTCAGTGTCAAGAGGTTTCTTTACTAAGTTATGAGCTTTTAAAACTTTCAAGACTGTTTATTTAAGGGATGTTTACATATCTTCCATGGTAACTACACCAAATTTCTTTTTCTTGATATATTGTATTGTATTATTTCATCATAAACGTATAGATTCTAGGCCTATGCCTTTTTTTCGATCATTAGATTTATTTCGAAATTAAATTTTTTACACAGTTTTTTAACATGTTTAATTTAACTGGCGATGGAGTTTTTAAAATAATCCATATTCTGCTGCAAGTACACGAAGCCTTTGCGAAATAAAGCAAGACTGTCCCTCGAATCGTTAATTATTGATATATAATTTTTTTAAACACAGATCTCTCTGAGGCAGAATGATTTATTTTTAATTATGCTCCCAAATTCTCCAAAATTTTAAATTATATGACACATTACTTATATTTATAAAATACAAAAACAAATTTTCATTAATATTTACAGAAAATGTATGAAAAGGGATTTTTCAATAGAATATGTTTCTTGCAACTTGAACATTGCAGATTCGAGCTTCGAAGTAAGTGATTTTTAGAGGTTGTGCATAATTTTTTTTTTTAAATAAATAAATGTTAATTATGATTAACAGCATCTAGTAAAAATAACATGTAATCCATAAAATTAAAAAATGTAGATATTTTAATTCAAAAAGTTGTGTTTGATCTGCATGTTCCACTGACTACAGGAAGAAAATGCATGGGAATTAAAAGTTTGAACATCTAAGTATAAGACAAAAATGTCTATTTTTTAATAAATTTTATGCATGGTTTTAGAAAATCCTATAAACATGCAACTAGATACCTAAGGAAATGTTCCTTAGAATGGATGCAGAATTATGCTTTATTTTTATGTAAGTTATGAAGCTTGATAAGGAATATTATTTTTTTTTAGGAGGAAAAGAGTTTGATGATATTTTTTTCCATCCCTCTACCATGTCGATGTCCAAAGTACTTTGTCATTTGTCAGTTGATTTGTTTTGCTATCCTTTGATATCTAGTATCTATGACAGAAAAAACCTTTTGACTGTGGCTTTCTTGGTTCCTTTTAATTTCTTGATCAAAACAAATTAAAATCAAAATCTTAAAGTGCTTAGGAAAATGATTTAAACCAGTCTATAGAAATGCTGTCTTTGTCATTGATAAGTTTTGGTTACTTCTTGTCAGCATGTGTTTGACCCCTTCTTAATAAATGTTGTTTTTTTCCTACAGGTATATACCATGCTTTGGAAGAATAAAGGAAGATTACCTTCACAAAACTGGATTAACAAGTGAAAAAAATTAGTTCATAGTTTAAGTTTATACTCAAATTTAACCCCTTGGTACAAGTGAGTGTATAATAATGGTCTATTTTTTTGTGGAGTTATATTCTGATAATACCACAGTGAAAGGAGTTAGCTAATTCCATTCAAGATGTGAAAAGAACAAATTAATCAGGTGTTTTCTAATCTGGATTTAAAATGGATCAACAGTGTGGTTTAGAAAATAGTTACGATTTATTTAGCACTTGTACGCGCCTCGCAAGAAGTGTGTTCCTAGTGTCTGCGATTGGAAATATTCCTTTATCGTAAATGAAATTATTTTTTACTTTGTTGATAAGAGGTTTCTGACATAGCGAATCATGGGGAATAAGTGTGGTCGAAAAGAGGCTGACCCAGATTCTGCATGGAAGCAACAGAACAAAGAAATTGCGACGAATCCGGTCTATAAATTTGTCGATTTTACTGGTGGAGGGAAGTTGATCGAGGCTTATAAGACAGGAGGGGCCACAGCGGTGGAGAAGATTGCAAAAACGGAGATGTTACCGTACTTGTACAATGAGGGAAATGGTGCTATTATAACTAAGTTAGACTACATAAAATGGCAATGCAGAATGCAAGCAAAGTATACGGTAAATACTTTTTTCTGCAGTTAAAGTGTTTTTTTTATATTTTATTTGCACTCACTTTTTATATACTGGTCTAGATATAAAAATCTCAGCATTTTTAGCTTTATATTCTCTAAAAAATACTTGAAATTTTTAGTCTTCAAATCTAGAGAAATATCTTACGTATTTCTCAATTACCACAATTCGTGAAAATTTTGTCTTGTTCATCAAGAGTCAATGCCTATCTCGCGAAAATAAGGTGTCACAAAAATTTAGTGATCTACAGTATACAATGATAAATGACTTAATTTGTTCTGGAGCTTTGAAATTACAGTGCCAATTAATAGACAAACCCAATTAAAAGAAAGTGAAAAATTAGATGTAGTCTTTTTTAAAGAGATTTGAAAAGACATTAGATTGCAGTAACTTTAAAATTCATCATGTTCATGCTCTTCCTGTTTTATTCATTTTCTTAAAATCTTGACAAACACTCATTCATTAATTTGATAGAAAAGGCGATATCTATATTTTTTACATGTGAAATTAATATCAATTCATAAAAAAATCCCGTGCAAACCAAGAAAATTCTTTATGAACGTTTCAGTGTTTGTTTTTTGTGTCACACAAGTTTTACAGTAAGGTACCGGTACTTGCACTCATTATGTTTCCTAATCTCTTCTTGTCGGGCAGGCTTTAATGAGCTGTATACCAATACAGAACAATTACAGATATGATACCTGTAATTGGGCCTTGTTTAATGGAGCAGAAATCTATAATTAGCTTAGTACCCACGTCATCCGAGCAGACCAGCAAGCCAGTTTCTGTTTGAAAGCTGGAAATTCGAAGTTGTAGTATCAATAAAATCCAGAGGAAAAAATGAGCTGTGGTATTCTATAGTAGTTAGAGGTGACGCAATAGTTCATTATATGAGAAAAAAATGATTCTAATTCTCTTTTTGATAAATTTCTCTGCCAGAGGACCTATAATGAAATAAAACTGCTTTGAATTAACTGTCCTTGAGTTTAAAAAGCTGCTTTTTTTTCGGTGCGCCAGTTAGACATTTTTTTCTATGGCTGATCACTATGTTAATCATGACAATTAGACAGGTTCGGAAATCGCATTGATTTCATTATATTGATTTTGCTATTTTACCCCCAGTTAGTTGATAAAAATTCCTTTAATTTTACTGTTTGAGTATTCTTCGGAAGAAAATTTATTAACATGTAAATAGGTCAGTTAGTTATTGACTTATTTGCCTGAAAATTGGTGCTCTTTATTAAAAGGCAATAACTTAACTCATCAAAATGACATCCTTAGTTGAAATATTTAATCCTCATTTGCATGCAAATGCATGTTCTTTGGGTTCATAACAAAGAGCAAATAATGTGTCTGATGCAGGTCCATTTTATAATTTTTATATATTAATTTATTTCCCCCACATGGCATATAGCTGCACTAAGGGCTTCTTTGAACCTTTTTGGTTCAAGGTTCTGTACCCTTTTAATTTAGAATTTTAAATTAAAAAATGACAAAATTAGGAAATACCCCTACCCTACCCTAACCTACCAAAGAGTAATGTTTTGATAAGTTTTCCTGGTGAATAAAGAGTTAGATTGAAGGTTAACTAACTTTTCACTGATCTTGAGTTGTTAAAATCTAAATTTTAGAACAAAAAAGCTTATACAGAGAATCAGATCAAGCTGTGTCTCCTGCTGAAGGGAAAAAAGAAGAGAATATGCTGACACATGAGGGGGGGTTGAGGGGGAGGGGGCACTGTAAGAAGGACAGGTTGGGGGCATAGGGAGTTATGGTATACAATTAAAAATGAGAAAAACTCAAAAGCTTCTTGAGATATCACCCGGAAATGAAAGTTTTACACACATGCACAGAATGTATGAATTTACGACCTTTATCTTTGACCTTTTTGACCTCAAAATCAATAGGGGTCTTCCTTAATTTGACCACTAGGGAGTTGTGGTGTAAAATGTCATTGCAAAAGCTCAAATGCTTCTTGAGATAGCAAACGAAATTTTGAATTTATGACCTTGACCTGTGACCTTTTAACCTCAAAATCAATTGGGATCATCCTTAGGTCATTAGGGTGTTATTATGTAAAACTTCATTGCAAAAACTCAAAGACTTCTCTAGATATCATGTGGAAATGAAAGCCTTACAGATAAACAGAACTACAGACAGACAGACAGGCAGAGTGACGGACAGCTAGACTGATGAACAGACAAACCAAAATTAATATCTCCCACTTTTATTGGGGGGGGTACAAAAAGTAGATTTCAATTTGAAAATGTTCCTTTTTCATGACCTCGATCCAAGGGTTATGATGGCCGGTACTAAGGTTTCGTCAGAGGTCAACATATCTAAAAAATTATTTTTTTAAACCTTAAGCCCTATAGCTATATACTAGTGTTCCATAAATATGAAGTTCCTGACAGAGAAAATACTTAATAATTTTTATCATTTCATGAATTTATAAATATAAAATTGTTAAAAATTGTATGTATTTTTATGTTAATTGTAATTAGGGTGCTACAAGTCTATTCATTTCAGTTTAGTTTACGTGACATTTAGTGATTTACAAGTATACCATGGAATTCACAGAACTTAATTTACTTGGATTTTACTCCTGTATAATTTAGTTTTTAACATATAAAAATATATTGATGAGTTTAATTTTATTTGCTATGCTAAAAAAGAGAAGGTAATAGAATTTAAAGTTTAATGAGTTGTCTCCCAAATGGGAATGATGTTATGGCTTGTTAGAAAATAATGAGAGAAAAAAATCCGATAAAATATAAAAACCAAAGTACGTACTTTTCTGTTAACAAGGTTGAGAGTTATGGGGATTTTACATCTGTGTGAAACATGAAATATTAAACAACACTGGTCTCTCTGATAATTTGGATGGTCCTCAAATGTTGATAAACATTGACCTTAATAATAACTAATTAAGGGTATGGATTGAGGGTGTAAGCCTGCATTGTATACCCCAGTGCACTTGTCCACCCCGTTCCTTTGTAACTATCCAAAACTGGGTCCGCTATACTCCAAAGCAAACTATATTGACACTCCAACTCCTTCAAGATAAAACTGTTTACCCTCAAATCATTCAGATGAAATTTGTTTGAAAATAATAGGTTTAACAGAGATTATATCCATGTTTGGATAGTTTTAGAAGGGGGAGAAAAAAAATTGTTGATATATATATATATATCTTTTGTTCCCTTTTGATGTGTAGACTGGTGGCTTTAAATAAAGTGGCTAACAATCTCTTTTGATAATTCTTAAGTTTTATTATGAGTATATATTTGTAGAAATTGTATTATTGTTTTATTTGCCACCTCCTATGTTTCTTATTTAAGAGAGGTTGAAAAGGTCACATACTGAAAGAATTTTCAGAAAAGGGTCAGAAAAGTGTTTTTGGAACATTTCCACAATTTCCACTGGCAGTGGGTTATATGGCACATACAGTAACTGATTCACTGATGATTGAAACATGCAGATAAAATTTAAATGTCAAACCAGTACAACTGGTCAGTGAATGGGTAAAGAGCTCTTCATGCTGGGCCATCAAATTGCATTTAATATAAATTTATTTAACCTGTCAGGAAGACTTGGCTTTATTATCTTCACCATGTTGAATAATATTACAGATCTATATGTTTTGCAGCCATGCAGTTATATTTTGTGAATCCTGCAGGATTAAATTTAGAACATACATGTAGAATAGTAGCTTGTTTTGATTATATAAATATGTCAGTCAGGCTATATGTATTATTTGAAATGGTTAGTAAAATATTCAAAACCAAATTACAGTAAAACCCATTTAAAGCAAAAATGCTTATAATGAATTGATACATGAAGTGATTTTCATTCCCCATTGCTTTTTAATATGTTGTAAACTTCATGGATATTATGAATTATATATTTATTATGATGCAAAATCATCCATCCCTGGTACTGCAAGCATGTTTTAAGAGTTGCCATGTTTTACTGTATACTAAACTTACCTTTGTGCATGATGTGTATAGAAATGTATAGATTTTGATTCAAGTATTAAATATTTAATTTTTAAAATTTGAAACTTACTGTGAAATAACAAATTTTCGTGGGGGTTTAATTTTCCTTATTTTCAAGGTATGAAGACCCCCACGAAATTATTTCCGCCACGAAATGTAAAATGTTACATACATAACTGCTCAACAACTCTTTATCCACGAAATCAAATCCCCACGAACCAAGAATTTTTCTTCAAACCACAAAAATTTGATCCCTCGAAAATATGTGATTTTACAGTAATTTTTCTACGTTTCTCCTTAAAACTGAAATGGTAACATCTATAATTGTCATGTACTGTTTTTTTTATATACATTCATATATAATTTTATTTTGTAGGGTTCAAGCGTGTGGGAAACTCGCACTGATGAACAACTATTGAGTGAATTCAAGGAGGATTACTTCAACAAAGTAGTCACCCATGAAGCATGCTGGGACCTCAATAAAAGGGGTGGGGTGGGGGAAAGCCCGTTCCATTTGTTATATCTCTTAGACTCTCCAACTCATCATGCTGTTGGTGAAATACTTCTAAATTTGTATCCCAAACTTAGCCTAGATGTTTACGAAGGAGAGGAATATTTTGGTACGTACATCAGTGTATATATAGTGTGTGTAACATGTTTAGCATCTTTGATTAATTATACATCAAGTAGTTCAATAAAACTAGTGATCCGAATAAAAGTGCTTGTAGTAGAGGAAGGGAAAAAATTCGATCTGAAAAAAAAAATGATTGTCTCCACTCTTATTCAAAAGGTTCATTAATAATCTATTTTGGAAACAAATTAACAGTGTTTCATTTTTCATTAGGTAGATATAGTGTCGGTGCTCTGTTTTATGTTTGATTATGATATCAATCATGCTATATACCCATCCATTGTCAGCATGTAGAAAATAAGTATTGATTGTGTTACCCCAACATTGAATTTAGGATACGATATAGCAATAGAACAATTTTGAACTTTGATTTGCAAAGTCACTCACTCTCAGAGAACAGTTTGGTCACTGCATTCATGGTATTGGTTGTCGAAATCAATGTGATTATTTCCTTGGAAACTATAAAAATTACCTGTCTAGAAACACCTTTATGGCAGATAGCAGTCTTTACTGACTTGTTCGTATTGTCGACCGTTTTGCATGAGAAAAGAAAAAAGAACCTTATACTTTCTTAGTTTATGGCAAAATGATTTGAATAATTGCTGATTTGTAAACGCTGAAGTATTCTTGGGAAATGTAAAGAAACTATAGAGTATTTAATGTACAGGCAAGAATGACTAGGCACTTTTTTATTTAGCTTTTGTTAATGATCACATTTTCATTAAATTACTATAGATTTATAAATAGGAACATTTAATAGCTTCTATTTTCTATTATTTAATTGACAAAGATGAATAATTCTGAATGTAATTGCCAAACGGTGGCAAATATTGGTGTAGGGTCGCTGCATGATGATATTTGAGCTGAAAAAGTTTCATTGCTGCTAAAGAAAAAAAAGCTAATATTAAAAAATAGAATTGTTTGTTTATAAATGAATTAGTAAATTATAATGGTTAACTTAGATGATGACATGCTGAAGAAAAAAAAAACTGAATTTTTATGCAAAATCTTGGAGATCTTGAAATTCATTATGAAAGTTCTTATTTACCTGGTATTTTAATTTCATTTTTTTTTTTATTTATGTTCATATTTTTAACCTCCACTATATGCCAAATCATTTGCTACTATATAATTGCTATCAAAGTTTGTTTTAACTATAAAAAGTGTTCAAAGAACTGTGAAAAGTTTGCCAACTAGGGATCTAAAAAAAACCTTGATAAACATGATAATTTAATGTACAGTCAAATTTTGTTTTCTGATCTCGAGTGAATCTATGGGACATATGTGGGAGGGAGACAAAAATTTTAAAAAGTCTACAGAATTGAGATATATGTATCAACATTATCAAGTGTAATATAAAATTAAAATACTTAAATAAGTGGTTGGGACTTCCACTTTGACATATCCATGGTATACATGTATTTGAAATATTGAATGGTTATCATTATCAAGATGTTCAAGCTCTACATTGTGTAATGTACTAGTATATCCATTTATAACATAAATTGAAAAAAAGAAAGATTTTTTTAATACACAAGTACCAAAATTTCTTTGTCAGCATGTTTTTTCCCTCTGCAACGCAGTAGTGTAGGGATAACTAATACTACAAATGGAGTTTCAATTTATTAATGATTAATTTCATATTCCCATGAATGTACTTTGCTGCACCTGACAACTATAATGTTTGTTTGGTGGTTTTCATATTTTTCCCTTGTGAACAATATAAAAACTCAAATCTGTTGTGGGAATGTTTTGTTCATAAACTAAATATTATCAAACAAGGCAACAAGAGAAATAATAAAAAAAAAAAAAATTGAAAAAAAAGAAGATATGAAACAAAATCAATGTAAAGGTTTAAGCCAACTGTGAGGTTGGGCTTGATAAAGTGTTATTGCTTCCAACTAGGTAGAATCGTGTTTACAGATGAAATTCCTATTCTACGCTTCTGAAATTATAGGTGAAAAAATCTGCAGTGGCCCAGTATGAAAGCAAAAAATGAATATTGATTTAAAGCTTTTATGTTGACTTTGCTTAATTGACTTGAAAATTAATAATAAGATTTGGACCAATGTTGATAACTTTGGCGTTTGTCTATAATTGTATCAGTGATAGAAAGAAACAAAGAAATGTAATAAACACGTCAATTAAAGCACACTTTTAAAAAGTAAGCAACACCTGCAATTTTAAATTTTTAGTTTATATAGACATGTTAAAGACAAGGGTCATGGCCTTTAATATTACTTAGTCTTAAACATATTAAACCAGGTTAAAGACAAGGGTCATGGCCACGATGGTTCAAGTCTTCAAGGTCATATTCTAAAGCAGGGTATGAAAAATAAATTAATTCTTACTGTATGTATATGACCATCAATTTGATAGGTTTAAATTACGGGTAAAAAAGGATTTAAATTACCCATCATAACCATTTAGTGTTGGCAAGCTAGCTCGGATTTGTATAAAAAAGGGTATTTAATTGAGTGATCAGCATGTTTAGACGCTGTGTTGTTGATGACAATGAATTCTGCCGTGGAGGGCCAGGATCAGTTTTCTTTTTATTGTCAAGCCCCTGGAAATCAAGAGTATGAAATCAAAAAATCAATTTTAGGTGCTGGCATTAAACATCGTGATTATTAACACTAAACGAAACCATGGAATAGGAGAAATTGTTGAAGTTTATTTCAATTGCAATTGAGTCGTACGATTATAAAGTACTCGTATTTAATTTTGCATAATTATAAGGACACACTGTGTCAAAGTGTTTGGAACTTCATTTAAAAAATGGGAGTAAAAGACATGAAAAATTCATGACTTCTAATTTATTTGATGAAAATGGGATTTGGTGTTTGCAATTTAGAAATGAAATAAAATTTCTTAGTGATTGATAAATAATTGCTGGTAATTTAATCTTTTTAGTTCCCTGTTGCTGTAAAAATTGCAACTTATTAGGATTTGCTTACACCTGTTACGGCTGTATTCACTTTTAAATTAAATGTTAAAAATATCACTGAGTAAGGAATTCCTTTTCATTTGCAAAGGATTTGCATACAAATTTTCATGTGAAGTGATATTGGTAAATAATTTGACCATATTCTTGAGAACCTTTTAAAAAGTTTGTCTTAATTAATTTAAAAACCCTCTCAAATAGCGGGGGGGGGGGGGGGGGGGGGGGGGGGGCTAAAACAAGCATTTATTTTCAAAACTTTTACAGATAAAATACGAGAAGCTGACCCTAAAATTAATGAACTGTCATAGCTAGTATTCTGTGTGTGTGGTTTGGGGAGAAATTGCACTTGCACTCAAAACATCTCTAGCCATGCAGAAACACATTTATGAAAAAAAAATTAAGATTATTTAAATACGTGTATTTCTGAAATAATATTTTTAATCTTGGCATTTTAGGGGAGAGCGCTTTACATATAGCCATTGTGTTTGGTAGTCTGGAGGCGGTGAAACTCCTCATCAAAAAAGGTGCTCTGATCGACCAGCGCTGTACGGGGCGATTCTTCCTACCAGAGGACCAGAAAAAGGGCTACACCAAAACTACCGACTACGAAGGTTTGTACCCTAGGTGTTTATATACATGTAGTCTCAAGATCAATCTCCACACCAAAAGTACTGATTACGAAGGTTTGTAGCATAGGAATTTATATAGTCCCAAGATTAATCTCCCTGTTTCCAGAACAGCACAGGGGAAGGAAATATTCTGGCTTAATGTAATCCCATTATTATGGATTCTACTACAATCATAATAACATATATCTTCCAAGTTTGGTGTTGCTTGGCCCATGTGTTGTTTTTTCTGATGGAAAAATTTTGTTCGAGTTGGTTATTTTACATATACATGTGCCAATACAACCGTCCCCTCCCCCTCCCCCAACCCCAACCCCCCAGATTATCCAAGAAACTATATGGCTATTTTATCACATTTAAATAATGCATGTATCTTTATTGTTACTTGATTTAAATAAGAATTCACTTGGCACAATGCATTGTTAATATATTCTATTGATTTGAGAAATTATATTTGGAAAAGAGTCCAATACGACCTTATTTTTAGGCTTAAAGGATGGTCTTGTCTTACCCAAGGGGTTGTCCTTATTTTATTGAAAGAAGACCCTTTTGATTTAATTCCTAGAACAATGATTGTGTTGACAAACAATTTTTTTTGTTGTATTGTATGCAACGAATGATCATATTGAGCTCCATCTATCTTAATCCCTGTAGATCATTCATTTAAATTAATTAAATATAAGGGAATCCTTATTTGTCTAACTAGATTGAGAAAAAAACATGATCTTTCTGAAGTATGAGAATGCTATAGCTGAATGCATTTCATGGAAAATAGGAATAATCATTGATTTATTTAGAATATCAGTGAGTAGGGATTAAAAAAAATAAGTTCAGCAGATAACTGTTTAATAAAAAATTTATGATTTTAGCTGACAAGGAAATTTTCCTCAATTTGAATCAGCAGCAGCAGTGTTGTTTTGTTGGAACAATTAAATTCTGCTGTCGTAAAAGAGGGTTACTCCCTTGCTGCGACAAGTACCCCCCAGTACCGAATCGAGATAGTACCTGTCTTATGAGTGATGTTTAATTCTCCGTCATTGGCCATTAACTCTGGTATAACAATTTCTAAGCTAGCAGCCCATGGCACTGATAATTTTGCCGTTAAATTTCCGTCAATAGTTGCTGAAAAAGATACTTGTGATGTGAAACTTTTGTATGGTCTTTGCTTCCTAAAATATCAATTTAGTTCTTTTTTCGTAACCTGGGATGGCGTCAGCCATTTGGTCGGAAAGTGGGACTTCAAAGTGGCAATGCTTTTCTGATTCAGCGTCAAGTTACATTCGGCTGACTATAGGCTGTGTTCATAATGTTTGCTTGAATACAATCATATCTGTAGAAAATAAACTACCATTCTGAGGAATGATCACATTCCATAGGAACATCATAGGACAATCCATTTATTTACAAAAGAGGGGGGAATATTGAATTAAAAAAAAAAAAAAAACATATGGGGAAAAATTATTGAAATGTTAATTTCAGTGCAGCTTGTTTAAGCCAAATATTTAGCAGTGTTGGACTGTTTAATCCATAATTCTCTTGCACCAAATTGAAATGCTGAGATGGCTTCAGTTTTTAGAAAAAGATTTACCCTCTTTGAACAATATATATATAGTTTTAACCAAGACTTAATTTTATGACAGTATGTTTTGTCATCTTTTTGCCACTTTGACTGTAGCTTCTGGATATATAAGCAAGATACACAAAATAAACTCAATTAGTTTCTTGGAAAACTATATCAGATTTTCCAAACATTTTTAAAAAGTTGTTTTGAAAAAAAGTACTGAATTATATATATTTTTTTATTATCAGCAGATTTGGTAGGAAAGTTGAAATGTTCTTGTCTTCAGCTCTGTATATTATATACCCATCGATTGGGCTCACAAGTAAATCCATGTCAATTTTCAACTTGTTTGAAAAGATCTCCTCACACCAAGTTCTCTCTATATACACACAGATCAATATGCACTGTTTTATTTTAAAATACATGGGGCTGTAGTTTGATATAGATTTTTCACAGCTAGGCATTTTTGAAAATATTAAAGTAAACATGTATATTATTAAATGCTGCATTTTTGTGTATGCATAATAATGCCTGGTAGTTTTATTTAAAGCCATTGTAGTCAGTGTTTTGGCTGATGACCCAATTGGGGAATGCTATACATGTACACTGTACATGTATATATGCGGTATTAACCAACATTTGCCCCCCAAAATCAAACTTTGATTTTTTAATTAAGTCCTTAAACAGTATGCATAAAGCACTGAATAATTTCATAAGTAATGACCTGGTAGTCACAAATATGACGTAAATTTCAGTTTAAATTTTGCCATATTTCGTCGATATTTTAAATGAAAGTCACCGAGCGCATGTGTGTTGACTAATATTTTGATGACCAATGAAATATGTCAATTTGGGGATATGCTATTGTTGAAATTTTGTCCATTTTGTCCTCTTTCTGAAAAAGGATATAAAATCACTGTACATAAAAACAGAAATTGTGAATACACTGCTCTGGAACTATAATATTTTCTGTTAACTTATATTTCTCGTACAATTTATTGAATTCAGCACATTTCAGGAAGTTTTCAAAATTTGACTTTTGTGGGGGCAAACATATGCAATATACCGCATATAGTCCTTTATCCGGACGCTTTGTTCCCAGGATATGTGAAGCGTCCGGATACCTGAATCACCAGTCTAACAAGACAAAATAACATTTTAAAAAATCCGTTCCGATGAAAAATCGTCCGGATACTGAAGCATCCGGTTATCTGGCGTCCGGATATCCTGAAGGTCCACTGTATATGTCAATTAAACCCAAACTAACCCATTTGTAATTAGACATAAATTTACAATGGGCATTTATTAACTGTAAACTTTAATATACAATTAAATACCCCTTTTGAGGTCAACATGGTGAAATAACAACCTGAGACCTAGTCCATACGAGGTGACCTGACCTGACCAAGGCTGCGCATAGCCTCCCCCCCCCCCCCAATAAAAAAAATAAGACTGTATGTAATACTAAGAATTACGATTTATTTTCAGGCTACGCCTACTACGGTGAATATCCCATACATTTTGCCGCGGCAACAGGTAACCAGGAAATTTACGACTACCTCATCGACCACGGTGGAGACCCCAATGCCCAGGATACGTTCGGAAACACCGCTCTTCATATGGTGGTCATCTGCAATCAAGTGGTAAGAAACAAACGGAAAATCGCAATAGTGAAACAGCTGGCTTATAATGAAGTGCTACGGACAAACAATTTTACTTTGTTAGAATCAGTCTATGCGAAAGCCACAGGACCATCGGTTTTTAACGGTAAAATTTAGGTCGGGTCGGTAAAAAATTTCAGTATACAGGACCAAATGTCCGGTAAAAAATAAGGCCAAAAAAATCTAAATTAAGAGGTACACATGGTCCAGTTCCCCACAAATATCCTTTATTCGACCAATTCAGCAGTAATACCTGATTAATTTTTATGTATTACAACCCTGTCATGATCGTTTTTATTCTAATTCGAATTTCCTCTGTCAAGGGTTAGAGATCTTTAGATAGCATGCTCATACGTAGATTTAGTTGGGAAAATATTTAGATAGCTCATACGTAGATTCGGTAGAGAATTTTTTTTTTCAAATGATCATTGGACTTGAGTTACCATAATGAGTTGTTTCAGGAAAAATAAATATGCATTGAAAGTGCATATTAAATTTAAGATAATATTTGATACAGTGTATGTTGTATAAGTCAAATATGAAGGAAAAAATGCATGCAATTGTATAAATAGATACCTATTACAAAGGAATACTATAAATATAGTAAACTTGTCCATTTCACTCTGAATTGAATTAAGGTTAAAATTTCACAGTGAGAATTAACCCCATCCCACCTACCCTCTCAATCTCAGTATCATAATGATGTATTGATTTAAAGGGAAAAAGTCGGTCTGGTAAGAAATTGTTTGGTCTGGTAAAAAAATTATTTTTACCAGACATTTGGTCCTGTAAAAATTTTTAACTTTCGCATTAGACTGTTAGAAGCGTAATTTGTTATATCCTTTTAGTCTTGAATATATAATAAGAGTCAAGTGCAATGAAAATCCCTTCGCTATAAGCATCAATCCATTAAAAGTGTATTCGCTATAACCGTATTTTACTGTATCCCCTTCATATCTTTGCCCCAGTTAAAAAAAAAAAGATAACCCTAAAAAATGGGATTGTCCCGGCCAGCTTGCCCTGTTAATTTGATATTAGAAACAAGGATTAAAAAAATATATATATTTAGAAATGGTTTCATTAACTTGTTTGTTTTTTTCATTGACGTCAATTGTGTGTGTTACTAAATGTGTAAATATGTTGTTTATACTACTTTCCTTAGATTTCCTTTGATTTGCTCCATTCATTAGGTGTATGCCAGGTATTGGTGTACTTAGTGCTAATTGTCCTTGGGTCAGTGATATAAAGGTCACTCCATTGTCTAAGAAAGTCCAAGCATGTATAACAAAAATCATTTTGGAGACAGTGTGGATATTGGGAGTTTTATTTTATTAAAAGCCGCATTATGATTAAGAGCGAGCATAAAGAAGAGATTTAGTAATTAAACAATGATTTTTACACAATATAATAAGTATATATTTTCCTTTTTTCCTCCTCTTCTCCCTTTTCAAAGCCAATTGTTTAATGGTCACAAACTTTTAAGATTGTATTAATGGATTATTATCATGCTCTTCATGCATGTTCAGTACTTTGATCAATTTCTGAAGTGTCTACTTTCATGGGATTAACCTATTGCAACTTTAAATTTCTGGCTTTACCCGTAATTGGTTCAAGTGGTTATTGCAAATAATATAGACTGTGCACTTTAAGAAGAGATTTATAAGAAAGAGCATGACATTTTATAAAAGTATTGTGACCTTTTAGCTTAATTATCCTACTAAAAGATTGTGAATTTAATCACTTAATACTTAGGTCAATTAAGGTGCAGACTTATGGTTCTTCTTTAAATACCTTAGTGATATTTATAAAAACCCATCTAAAAATTATTTCATTTCCATTAAATAACTAGGAGACTTATTGTTCACAGAACAATAAGAGGTCTTTCCACCTTCTTTGAATTTCAAATTTGTTATATATCTGACTCCTTAAAATTAAATTCCATGAAAAAGAATCCAAAATGGTCTTAAAGCATAGAGAAATGAAAATTAAAAAAAAAATGGAATGACCTTGACCTTTGACCTTGAGAAAATGTTCAAGGTCAAAGGTCAAGGGTCCCAATGCAATTGACCCCATGCTTCTACGACTTATAGTTTTCAAGTTATCATGTTTAATAGTAAGTACAAAGAAGTTAAAGGGCAATAACTCATATAAGGGGTCATCAGATTCTTTAGCACTGATACAGTGAAGTTAGGTCTTTAGACCCTTAAAACATCAGTGAAGGTTTGGTGTCTCTACGGTCTATGGTTTCAAAGGAGTAGCGATAACAAGGTTTTTCGCACAAGGGGCAATAACTTTTCAAAGGGTCAATCTTAGGGTACAAGAAAAAAATCATTAAAAGAGTATTAAGAGTGCATGTTACAGACAGAAGATAGATAGTATGTGTTTGAGGATATAAAAGCTATTGAAAGAAATTTATTCCTCATATTTGGAATGACCTTGACCTTTGACCTTGAAATTAATTTGAAGGTCAAAGGTCAATAAATCTTATGCAGTTGGTCCCATGTCTCTTTCACTTCTCGTGTTGAAAATTTTTAATTATTTCTAAAATTAAAACAGTTTCAGGGGCAATAACTCATTGAAGGGGTCACCGAAAACTTACGAAATGAATAGATTCCAGAGTCCTCTCAATTAGTCGAAGACTTTAGTGAAGGTTTCATATTTGTACGGTTTATGGTTTCGAAGTAGTAGCGATAACAAGGTTTTCCGCACAAAGGGCGGTAACTTTTAATAGGGTCAATCTTACGGAATACGAATTGAATCTTTAAAATAGTTTCAAGAGTACTTATTTATGATGCTAAGACAGTTTGTATATGTTAAGAGACAAAAAAGATATAAAAAGAACTAAATTTCTCAGTTTTGGAATGACCTTGACCTTTGACCTTTACATGAATTTTAAGCTCAAAGGTCAATGAATCTTATGCAGTTGGTCCCATGTCTCTATCACTTCTCGTTTTGAAAATTTTTAATTATTTCTAAAATTCAAAAAGTTTCAGGGGCAATAACTCATTGAAGAGGTCACCGAATACTTTCGCAATGAATAGATTCCAGAGTCCTCTCAATTAGTCGAAGACTTTAGTGAAGGTTTCATATTTGTACGGTTTACGGTTTCGAAGGAGTAGCGATAACAAGCATTTCTAGCGAAAGGGGCAATAACTTCGAAAAAGGGGTCAAAGTTCAAACAAGGGCTGTCGTTTTTCAGAATAACTTTTGATATCCAGTTTCATGAACTATAAAGTTTTTCGATAAGTCTTGCGGTTTCAAAAGTCCGGGAAGAAAAATAATAATAATAAACATAAGCATTTCAAGAGGTCTTTCCACAGAAAGGTGGAAAGACCTAATTACAAAAAATAATATCACCCACAGTGATTGGAGTATATTTGCTCTTTAGAGTATCCCAATATGAAGACTTTAAACAGAGATCCCATGTTACAGTAGGCACCATCGTCTCAAGCCATGGTTCGAAGTTCGCTCATAGCTTTCTCCTACCCGTGGCTGCTTGATCATAAAAAGTGTCGTTATCTTGAATATTTATGCCTTTCTATTGTGACGCCATATTCAGTCAATTGACATGTTTCGTTTCCATCGCAATTGATATCAACAATTTACATCAGCATTATTTCGTACTTTGCGATTGGGTATTGAAAGGTCACATCAAAGTTCATTATCTGATTATGCTTTACTGGCATTGGTCAATATTTTAATGAGCTACGAAATATTCTCTTCTCATATTCAACCACGGCCAGAATTTGAGAGGATGGTACGTACATTATGGCCATGGTTTGCGATGATGAGAAGGCACATGCAGGCACAAAAAAAAATCCCTCACTTCTCAAAGGCCCTAAGTCTCCTTTTTGCAGAAGAAAGGGAAAATTACTTTAAAGTATTTCATATTTTATTACAGAAAAATAGGCAAAGTTCTTATATCTCCTTTTATAGAAAAATGGGCCAAGTTCAAAGTCCTTGACAGGTGTTGATTCTCGCTGATGAACTGATTTGCATGATGACAAAATATGTTTTGATTTTTCGTTGTAGGAAATGTATAAATACATCGTAAGGCATCACACGCTTCCCGCCAAAACCGATATTAAGAATGCTGTAAACTTGACTCCTCTGACTCTGGCCAGTAAACTCGGCAGGCAGACCATCTTCAAAGAAATGTTGGAACTAGGAAGTCTGGTAAGGTCACATCATTGGATGAGTTCGCTATGGTCAAAGCATCATTTTTTTTGCAAATTCAAAATAAATAGAGCTTCAGTATGATTTACTTACCTTCAGTAAAAATTTATGAAGGGAAAGTGTAACAATTAACAGTCTAAAACACTGCATGCATTATAAATAAGATTTTATTAGCAAAAACTTTATTCATACATAACTCATAGGTACTCTCCCTGACCTGTTTGTCTTAATTCACACATATTGACCAGCCCTGTGGTATGAAATTTAGAAATATAGGGGCCTGGTCAAAAAGTAAGACAACAGATAGTAATGAACCCCTGTTCATAAGATTGTCTTGCTTCAAAAAATAAGTTCCTTATACGTGTATACTTTAAACGTATTACATTTGGCTGTGTAATCTATTTAGCACCTTTCATGGAAAGCACCTCCCACTAAATCAAGTACATTGCTGAATGCCTTGTATACTGTAGAAGCACAAATTTTCATGGGGATAAAATTTCATTGATTTGTCATCAAAAATAATAATTAATTTCTTTGGCATTTAATTTCGTTGTTTTGAAATTATAGCCCTAATCAATATATTATAGTCATATAAAATTTTGTGTGGGATTTTATTTCGTTGATAATTATTAACAACGAAATAAACAAAATTTAATCCCCAAGGAATATTGGTGCTTTTACGGTACAGTGTATATATATGTATATATGTAAAGCACATTCAGAAAGCGCTAGTCTATGCTAATTTGCTGAAAAATCAATTTCCGCAAAATATTGTGCACACCAGATAGAAATGCAGTTACAGTATACTAAAGGGAATTAATTCAAAGGAATTATTATTTGTGTGACTATGTTTTGTAGAACAAATATTTGTAAACAGGATAATTACAGAGTTGGGATTTATATTTCATGGCATAAAAGTTATAATCTGAACAGAAGCAAATATTGACAGAATGTATATCGCTACACTACAGGTATAAATTGCACCAAATTTTGGTTTATGGTAAAATGGAAAATAATTGTACATACATTGAATTGTGACATGGACTACAAATCATTACTTAAAAATGCATTGAAATTCCATATATTTGTACTTTGCACGGAATGAAAAAAAATCATTTCTGTAAACAATGATTTGCTGAAATGATATTTAAATTGATCTGATGGAGCGTTATTGTTTGTTTTAAACCAATTTTTATTCATTTGTGTAAAACATCAAGAAAATTTGTAACATTCTCCCTAGCATTTCACAGTCCCTAAATGAATTGTGCCTTTTTTAAATATATTTGAAAACTGTATTGATGTTTTGGAGAAAAGAGAGGAAGCGTGTTTAGGCCATTTCAAATTTTTTCTCTGTTTAGGCTTTAGCATCCACTTATCTTTTGAAAACCTACCAACCCATTGGCAAAAAACACACAAGCCAAAACGTAAAACACAGATTTGCATATTATAAAATTGACTCCATTCAAAACATTTGTTGTCATAAACTTTTTTTCTAGAAGGAATGATATCCATTCTGTAGCAACATCATGGCATTGATTGCTTAAAATACACCAAATATGACATAGTGTACTGTACAGAATGATTTGTAGAAATTGACAAGATTTCAACCAAATTAATTAATCTGGAATCTCCTGATTTTTTTCCTGATATGTGCGTGGGTTCAAAAGCAAGACGCACATGGATGCTGAAAATAGAAAAAAATTGGAATGGATGGCCTTTATATATACATACATATAAAAGGAGTTCCAGAACGTGGAATATCCTCTTGCGACAACAAATATTTTTAGGAGATGAAATATTGAGTAACATTGTAGATGGTCAGGTTGGACATCTGACCTTTAGCCTTTTGTCTTTAATCGTAAGTCTAAAAGATATTGTATTAAAATAAGCTCATCAAAAGCCTTTTTACTGAATCTCAGAAGAAGAGAAATTGCTATTAAACATTGAGCTCTTGAAAACTTAGCTGTACCACATAAGCACTGTATATGTACAGTCAAGTAGAGGAACTCTTATATAAGGGGCTATTGAAGTTGGAGACCCCCATTTATCTGTTTAAAGCTTGTTGCTGAGAACCTGTAAATTGAATTGACTGTTATAGAACAGCTAATGACTATCAATTGATCAGAATCCTGATTTAATGCTTTCTTTTGTGTTCATGCTTGGTACGCAATTGATTTTCAAGGCTTTGCCACTTGAGTATGTTACGTAAAATCGTCACAACGCCAGCATCCCTTGGCTGTTTATTATTGATGATATTTTCTAACATGTAATTGAAAATGTTTTTCAAATCCTTTGTTTGTGTTGAACAATTGAAGAACAACAATCTACTTCAACCTGGAAAAATTGACTTAAGAGCTTTCATATTGAATGTTCAGCTTTGTCAATACCTCATGGAATTGAAATATTTGATAAACAAATGTTTTTATTTATTTATTTATTTGTACTTTTAGATTATAGTAAAACATGTAAAATGTTTATAGAAAATGTTATTGACATCTAAAATCTTTTTTAAACAACTATTTTCATTGTAACTTTACCGAAAATCATGGCTGCCACAATGTGTATCATGACTGTACATTTTAAAAAGCAAGAAAATTACCACAGAAAATATTTCAAAAGCAAAATGCTTTAAAACCTCATGATTCAAAGAGCTCTGTTCCTTTAGAACACTAGTTCTTCCATAACTTGGGCGCACATTCCTGGTTTCCAAGTAAAAGTCGTGTATACAGTAATTTCATGGGGTGTCTTTGTGGTACAATGTACCGGCTGTACTTCCGATCCTTTGAATTAGGATATTTATTATATCCGCATGCGAGGCCATTATATCCCTTTTGTGTCAGATCAATATACCTATGATAGTTGACACTAGAGTTTGAAGAGCACTGTCATTAAATCTTTGGAACGGGACAAAACTCTTCACGTATTAAAGGACTTTCTTGTTTTCTTAAGACTTACAAATGTCTGTCTGTATGTGTTTCATAAAAGCCCAAGGAAATAGGCTATAAATTTTGAGTAAATATTTTTAAGGTGGAAAAAATATTTGAAAATTGGCTGTTTCATACTTTCATGTAAAGGTGATATATTGCACTTAATATAGAAATCACGTACATCAGCATAAAATTTGTGATTTTTGAGATTTAGATGTAAACCTGAGACAAAGAGGGCCAAAGTTTTGAATCTCATTGAAATTTTTATGTTTGAAGTCATTTTACGAGGCTTAATTCCCCATTTGGTCTATTAAGTGGTGAAAGCATTTAAAATCCTTTGCATCAGATCAGATTATTGGTCTGTTAAAGTACACGGGTTTTTTGATGGAAGACAGACAGCGAAATAGACCAATATGATAATCCAGTAAATGGAGAAACACTGAATGGATAGGGAAACCGGGTATAACAAACAGACAATGGCCAGCTACTGGGGCAGCATTGATTTAGGATTGGTCTTTATGTAGATGTAATGGCAGATTTGTCCTAATATACGTATACCAACAGGATGCTTCCTCCTTAAAATTCAATGAGTTTCAAAGCCTTTCTAGATCACTGCTAGTGACTTTTTACTTGTAAAGCTTATATTGTACTTTTATGGGGTACTCTGGATGTACTTTTTTTCTAAATGAGTTTAATTTATATGCTATGCATTGTACACAGTCAAAATTTTCCCACAGAAATTTGTCACAGTGTATCTTAAGTTCCACTAGAACATAAAATGGCAGTCAATATATTTTTTAAACCTACTTATTAAACAGTAATTGTGATTTTACAGTATTATGACTCTGAGGAAAAAAGTATTCAGCAACTAGCTTTTTTCTGTTATTGACTTTGCTGGTTCACAAAATGAGATTGAGATACAGTGAAACTTGTCTAATCCCTGTGTTGTGTATTCTGAAATCTTGTCTAACAGGATGTTAACATCAAGTCCCTTTTAATTAGCAATTTCAGTTGTTTTGTAATCTGGAATGTGGTCTTATCCGGCTAATTTCTTTGAAACCATTGGTGATAAGTTTTACTGTAGGTACTAGTATTTAATAAAATATCTGTACTGTAATATATATAGAATAGGATCAAGAGAAATGTAGGATTCAGATAAAACTGCTTTGCTAAGTTCAAAGGTCATTAACCTGATTTGTTTTATAGGTGAATATATATGATTAAAAAATCTTAATGTAAATTTACCTACCGGAAAGACACAAGTTGACTTTTCAGGTTGACCTTGACCTCTGACATAAGATCTGTAAGCTTTTTGTAGATTTTAATTCTTATTTGATAGCGTAACACAGTCCATAGAAAACCAACCTATGTGACATTGCTTTAAATACCAAGTTTATAGTTTAACTTTGATGTTTGGCATTGACAATTGTAATCAATCGTGGTAAGAAGATGCATATAGGAACATACTTTAGTTTAATTTCTCAGTGTAGATAAATGTATAAAAAATTTTAGTTATGGTATTTCGCATGTAATTTATCAATATCTCTTAATTAACGGTTCATAATTCCTTCAAATGTCTTCAGCTATTTCTTTCTTTTTATTTGGAATGTTCATTGATGGAGATTAGCAAATATTATGCACAACAAGTATAAAGTATAAAGGGATTTTCACAGATATTTATGAGTCATCCCATACCAAAAAAAGGTACAGATTAGGCATGCCTATTCTTGATAAATATAGGCACAAAAAAGGTATACCTAAAGTATACAAGTTTGGAACCACTTCTTCAAGTATAGGTAGCAAATTGGTACAATATAGGTACATTTCAGGCACACATAAAACATTAGATTGAGAAGTGAGGCATACCTAAAGTATGCCTATACATGTGCTAATATTGTACCTATATTTAAAAACAGGCACAATATAGGTACTTACAAAGTTTGGCATATAATTCAAACATTCAGATAGGTACATTTTAGGTATACCTAAAAGGTGCCTACATATCAATCTATTAGGTACCCTCAAGGCTGTGCCAAAAGTATGCCAGAGGTATACCAAAAGTGTACCTACAAGGTACCTATATTGTACCAAAAGCATTAATAGGCACATTTTAGGTACTAAAAAAGCACAATATTGGCACATCATTTAACTAGACCTGTAGGTACATTTTAGGCATACCTAAAAAGTGCCTACATATCAATCTATTAGGTACCTTCAAGGCTGTGCCAAAAGTATGCCAGAGGTATACCAAAAGTGTACCTACAAGGTACCTATATTGTACCAAAAACATTAATAGGCACATTTTAGGTACTAAAAAAGCACAATATTGGCACACCGCATAACTTTACAAAAAGGTACATTTTAGGCATATGAAAAAATGGGCTTTTGTCGACAAATCAACCACAAAACCCAGTTAAACATTTCTTTCTCCGTGAAAGGTTTTTTAATTTTTGGCCTTACATGAAAAACACATACTTCATGTACTTAATTATCATTCCTTGTGAATGGGCCAGGTCTATATTAAAGAAGAATTTAACAATAATTATCAGGTACAAATAAAAATTTATTGCATGATGCTACATGAAAATATCTATGAAAAATATCTCTTTAAATCCTCTCTACAAACAGAATCTATATATGACTTGAATCTATATTTTAAAAAAATTAATGTTGTTACCTTTAACAAAATAATGATATTTAATATCATTCTTTGCAAGAAAAAAAATAAACACACCTTTTCAGCATATACAAAACATAATTAATGTAATTTAAATGCACAAAGACACTGTAAAGGTACTGAAAGTATACTCCATTTCAAGTCCTTTTTTGCCACACATTATTCACTTGCAACATGTGCAATTCATGTAATCTTCATTACTTTCATAGAGTTCCTACCCATTGCACCACAGAATTTTCTGCACAGTAATAGACCTTTTACCGGGGTAAATCCTCATTGCTGTACAGTTACGATTTTCATCTGGACTCATAAAAACTGATCCTCCATTTGAATGTACCACGCAATTCCTTTTTTCTTCTTTCATGCCATTCCCTTCAATTCTGAAAAAGTTGTTGCTCTTGAGTCTTCACTTACTGAGTGACATTTGAAATTATTTTCAAAAATATTACATAGATGAAATCCATGCCTGAATCTATAGGGGAGGGGTCCGGGGAGTCTGGAACTTCCTTCCTACTTGCATTATTGTGTTATTAAATGTATATATATATATATACCTAATCAATTTAAAGTGATTTGGACACCCCCCCCTACCCTGTGAAGATCTGCATCTGAAATTCCTAAAATTTACAATGGAGTTTGATAAGTGGTGATTAATTTTACTATTATATGTATATATTTTTTCAAAAACCATATTAGATTTCATACTTACTGTCAGTTGTAGTCTTTATGCTTTTCCCCCAAGTTTAGAATGACTACAGGGGACAAGAATTTTGCTGAAAAAGAAAGTTTGTTCATGAAATTATGTGATATTATTATTTACAAAGTTTACACTCACTCGTATACTATATTTTTTTTTAATCTAATACTGAAACATTGTCACTCTGAATTAAATGGTGTGTGTCATACCCCCCCCCCCCCTCACCCCCCCCCCCCCTTCTCCTGGCATGAAACAAGTGGAGAGATAGGGATTGAAATGATTTTATGTAAACTTATAAAATAAATTTATTCAAATCAGTTAATTTTGTTATATTATGTTTTATAAATGCTGTAATTTTGATACTTTAAAACATGTTAAAAATTATCCCACCCCCCTCCCCATTTTTTTTATATAGAGATCTTTACTTTATATTTCAAATTTCATATGCCAATGATTAAATTTTCACACTGTTCATTTGAATTTCTGTTTGTTATTATCGCCATGCCCATGCAGTGGCTACTGTACATAACCTGTTCCGCGATATTGACACATATTACTCTTAGTATTTTTTAAAAAGACTCTGAAACTGTGAAACACTTTTTTTGTCTTGTTACACATCTGGTTAAACAAAATAATTATTATTTATATCTCTTTACTTCATGTGTACGCTGTAGCACTGGCTGCACGGCCATCTTGAATCAAAACAAACCAAAAATCTACGGTACAAATACCTACAATTTCGTAAAATTTATACTTGATATTCACATTCTAATGCATTCTTTACGTGCAAAAATACATTAACAACAAGCAGCATAAAAATTTACACTGAAATAAAGACTCACCGACCTATTATTCTCCGATTTCTTTTTGAGGTTTTCATCTCGGTCAATTTTCAAATCGTCTCTGTAATGTCCGCGCTATCCACTGACCAATCGTAGACTTCGCTGGGGTCACGTGATTTTATTAAAATTTATTAAATTATTCATAAAATATTTCGTGTAAACAATTAATAATTATAACAATGAACATTTAACAATTATTTAATGAAACCCCAACTTAAACAGAAAGCCGATTGCGATGAAATCCTTGAAATTTAGCGTGGCTATTTTGGGCAAATAATTGAACCGCCATCTTGAACGCCATTACTATATGGTGTTTGTTTACATAACTAATCCTCTCAAATTGATTAGACCCCCTATTTTTTTTTTTAATTATTTTAATTATATACGTGTTAGATTTCATAAAATTTTTTACGTGTTAGACACAAGAGAGTGATACCAGTCCAATACGAAAATTCGTAATATTACGATGTATACAATCCATAAATGCTTAGTAAATCTTATATTACGATTTTTCGTAATGTAGTTAAATTACGAATACGCGTAATATAGTAGATTGTAAGAAACTATATTACGAGTTTTTCGTAATCCAAGTCAAATCAAGCATTGCAAGCTAAATTGAGTGGTGGGTAGCAAAGTATGACGTCAGTAATATATCAGATTCCTCGGCTAATGATAGCATGCAGTCAGATTGGTCAGTTACGCCTATCAGAAAGCATGGAAATTCAAGAAGAAAGTATCGCCAGCGATGGGTGAGTGGACAATTTCTTTTATTATTCTTTTATAGGAATTTTCCCACGGATAAGACAATTTTCCAGTAAATTTCAATATTCGCTCAAGCATGTAGCATTGGTCTATATCACCCGAACTCCCTACTTTTCTTCCGAAGTCTACCCTAAAAATCACACCCTCCTTTCATAATTCAATTGTTCGTGCAATTCTTATTAAAATACACAGAATTTCAAATCTCAGTTAGCGTCGTACAAGTTATCGCCCGTGACATCTCGTAATAAACGCCATACTTTGCTACCCGCCACTCAATTTCTTGCAATGCTTGAATTTGTCTTTTAAAAAATCGTAATATAGTCTCTTACATCTTTAGGATCCTATATTACGCATATTAGTAATTTAACTACATTACGAAAAATCGTAATATACGTTTTAAATTACGATAACTTGTAATATTACACTTTCTCGTAATCTTACGTTTTTTCGTAAAATTACGAATTTTCGTATTGGACTGGACTGTTAGATTTCAACTAAAATCAAATTAATGTAACTGACACCAGAGAGTGATACAAACATCGAAATACATGTAAACTTGGACCATCATGTATAAAATAAATTATAACATGTATACAATCCATAAATGCTTAGTATGTGAATAATTATAAAAGATAAGCACCTGTATTTTGTGCATCTTGGGGGCTATTATTTGTATGAAATTTCTGTAAATGTATACACATTTTTTTTACTGCTACTTCCTATAACTACCGGTAATAGTTAAAGCATCTCTGTTTATTTCATTCTGTAATTTATTCTTTTGTATTTTTCCCATTAATATTGAGCTGGCTCAGGTGAGCTGAAAAATCTAATGAAATCACCCTTTTGTCATGTTTGTGGAGAACTTCATGTGCTACACGAACAATTTCTGCAGGGTGAAGGTCATCCGGTATTAACACCTGTGTCACTATACTGTGGAAATTAACATCGTTTTGCATTCAAAGATAAACAAAGTCTATTTTAAAATACACCAGTAACTGGTCTAATGGATATAAATCTCACCCTATAAAGTTTATTTAAACATCCCATAAATTTTTGCATTTACAAAACGTACAAGAGAGAGAGAGAGAGAGAGAGAGATCTAGAGAGAGAGAGAGGGATGCCGTGATCGCGTAATGGGACCTCTACTGGACATAGACATGTGCATACAAATTTTATTACTGATAATTTATAATACAAAGTTGTATCTGTTACAACTAGAGGGGTTTGCAAGGCAAACCTGGTTTTGAAAGAAAATGTATTTAGTTTTTAAAACGGTTAATATCTTAATAGTTTATCAGTTTATTTACAGAGTTAAAAACATTCATTTATCATTACTTTGTTTAAGAACAAAAGAAATTAAAGAATAATACTGCAAGAATAATACCGAGAAGTATCGTAACTAAGCAGATTTGGCTGTTGGTTACATGACTTTGTGTCCACTTCACTATATGCACGGACTATACCTGATCTCTCTGTGGATTTCCTGTGTATTGTGTTCGTTCAAGCGGAAAGTGAATTCCTGTTTCTAATTGATATATACATATTTCACAGTATTGCAAAATGCAACAAGTTGATAAAATGACATGTAAAAAAAAAAAAAAAATTTAACAAGTGTGTGTGTGTGGGGGGGAGGGTTAATGGTCAATGGTCAATGTTTATAAGACAATCCCTTATGTTTAAAAATGTTAATCAAAGTTACTAAAAACTCTGTAAGACAAACTAGGTCATATTTTAAGAACAGAAATGGATCTTTACCTTTTATTTTCCTTAAGAAAATTAATTGAATTAATGATAATTACATATTTGGCATTTGAGAGTAACAAT